TCCTGCTGAGGTCTATGAAAGTGAGGAGACTACACTTGCTGATCTCCGGAGTGATACGACCAGAGAAAAGGTTTCCACTGAAGTCTAGTTTGGATAATTGTTGCAGCCGGCCAATCTCCGGCGGGATGTTACCAGAGAAGAGGTTTTGGTTGATTAGAAGCTTCTGAACAGCGGAGAAATTTCCGATTGACGAAGGGAGAGGACCAGAAAGGCGGTTATTCGAGAGGGTGATCTGGCCAAGATTGGACGAGATCCGGGAGTTGCTGGTGTCGGGAAATCCGCCGGCGAGGAGATTGTCCTGCAGCTCAACTTGCGCGAGATTGGGAAGGCTGAAAAGTCCTTTAGGGATGGAGCCATTAAGGTAGTTTTCACCCATACGGATCCGGCTTAGAGACAAGCATCGGCCTAGGGATTCCGGGATTGGGCCGAAGAGAAAATTTCCGAGAGCGATTAGGGTCTCTAGCTTGTTCCTGAAACACAGATCCGGCGGGAGATCACCGGTGAGCTTGTTTGATGAAAGGTCAAGGAGCTGGAGATGGCCATTTCTACCAAGCCGCCGAGGAATGACGCCTGTAAAATTGTTTTCCCAAAGCTGAAGCACTTCGAGCTCCGGCAGATCGCCGATGAAGTCAGGGATGGTGCCATAGAGCTTGTTGCGGAAGAGATTTAAGAGTGTGAGGTTCTTGAGCTCAGCAAACGACACCGGGATCTCACCGGTGAAGGCATTGTTGGAAAGGTCCATCGATTTGAGGCTACGGAGCCGTCCGAGCTCCGACGGAAGTTCTCCCGTGAGGACGTTCACCTGGAGAAAAATCGTATCAAGTTTCTCGAGGTTACCGATCTCAGGCGGGATTTTACCGTTGAGTCCACAGTTCGCCATGTCAAGCCGAATGAGGTCGCTGAGGTTCCCAATCTCTGGCGGGATTTCACCCTCGTAGCTATTGAAGTACCCGACATACAGCTGCCGGAGACGCGTTAGATTTCCAATCTCCTTCGGTATTCGCCCACTAAGCTCGTTGCCAGATACTGCAAGATACTCTAGTAACTCCCATTGCCCGTACTCCGGTGGAATGACACCGGAGAAGAAGTTTCCCCCGAGATGAAGATGACGAAGGTTCCGAAGCTCGATAACCTCAATCGGGAGGACGCCGGTGAGGTTATTATTGTAGAAATCCAGGACGCGCAGGTTTCTGAGCTGCGAGAGGGCGGAAGGGAAACTGCCATTGAAGATGTTGTTGGAGAGGTTAAGGTATCGAAGATTAGAGGCGCGGGAGAGCTCTGGCGGGATGGGACCGGAGAGTGAGTTGACGGCAATGGACAGGTTTAGAAGTTCCGGCATCTCGCCGACGGCAGGGGACAGTATGCCGGATAAATTCATGCCGGTGAGGTTAATGGAGACGACACGGCCGAGGCTATCGCATGCGACGCCACTCCATGAGCAGTGAGGGGTGGAATCGTCCCACGTGGTTAGGGATCCGGCGGAGTCTGACATCGCAGACTTGATGTGTAGGAGGGCGGCTTTTTCCGGCGGCAGTGAGGGCGGTACGTCAGCCGACGGTGAGGGGAGGATGAAGAAGAGAACCGCAGCGAGGATAGGTAATGCCATTGGGGATTGCATTGGTGTTTTCTCTCACTAAAACAGAAAGGAAGCTGGTGAGAGAGAAACAGTGCTGTGAAGCGGAGACGGAAGCGTCCTTGCTTCTGAACGGAGACTGGTGGCGGGCGTGAATTTAATGCCGGTTTTTTTTTTTATTAATGAATAGTTTTTAAAAAAATGTTTTATAACTTTTAAAATAATTTTTTTTTTAAATACAGATATTTATAAGGTGATAAAAGAGTGGTAATATAGTTACTATTCGTCATATCATTTAAATTCAGGAACACTTACGTACATACCCGTCAATCATTTAGTATTTATATTCTAGTGCCTCAACTTCAATTTATACAGGCATACCTTCTTTTTATGCATAAAAAAATTATTTTAAAAAATTAAAATTATAATATTTATTTGTGTGGTGGAAATTTTGGATATAAAAGTAACAATTAAAATTTAGATTTTAGATATTTAAATACATAAGAATTAGTTGATTTGGATTGCAATCACTCTATCGTTTCTTTAAATTTTGACAGAAATATATAAATAACCTAGCAATATAATTAAATTTATCAAAAAAATAGATGTGTCATAATCAATGACTTTAACGGGCAACGAAGTAAGTAATTTATAATTTTAAAATTATATTTATCATCGTTATTGAGAATAACACGTACTCCTCAATAAGATCGGTGATTTATCAACATTCAAAGTTTGTTTGGGGCAATTGCAACTTAATAATAAGCCATTGCACAGCAGTGGTCACAAGAAGCTGCTGCGCAGAAACTGTTGTGAATAAACTGATTATCTGTTTATTTTTTGCAATTTAAAAACAACTGCGTTGCAGCTATTTTCGGACAAATGACTATTTTTCATCTATATGATAATGTTGTTTGCAACAGAACTATTCATACGAATATATTTTATATTTTAAAAGCAAATATCGAGTGCAAAACATTACAAAATAAAAATAGACACATCGTTTAACATTGAGTAACATGACTACTAAAATTAAAAAAAAATTATTAAAACAACAATTCATAATATGATAATATTATATTTGAAATACAGAGAACATATGTTATGAGCTATGTCGTTCTCCAGAGATACTCTCCATGTCCGATCACTATCAGTAGTAGAATTTTCCAGTATATCTGCCCACCAAAAATAGTCACAGTTTTCTGTGATTCTACGTTGACACTTGTAAAACCATCTCTCGTAGTTATGTGGATGACGTGAAGTTAACATGAAACTTTAAAGTCCACATTAATAGTGCAATCCTCTGGATGTTTCAGAAATCCTCGAGCTTATCTTTGTCAAATGCTTTAAAAAAATGCATCCTTAGACATAATACAAGTAAAATTTTATAACATAAGTAATTAACTATATTTTTATGTAGTTGTAGGGTATCAAAGAACTTGGTCTATAAAATAATGAATCTGTCACTACAAAAAGACAATAAATCTTATAAAAAATACTTTTTTTTCTCTTCTATCCACATAATACCAAGTTTGTGTGTGTCACATATGCATATCACTAAAAAATGTTATCTAGAAGAACCTCAAAAAACATAACACCTAAAAAAAGAGAAGTTTGTTTGTCTTCTTTAGGATTTCACATGTAACACCAACCAATAGAGTTATACAGGTCATCCAGAAGAACCCATAGGATCAAATTTCTCATCATAGACCTCCAAACCCTACCAAAGGAAAAATAGAAATGCAAACGGAAAAAATACATATAAATTACGTAAAAAATTAAAACAATAAATATCATATACATAAAGAACATAAATAAATATGAACTGTATAAAATAATGTTACAATAAACAGTGAATGTCATCAACAACCATTGCAATTAATAATATGATAAAAACTAACATTCCCTCCAATCACCCTCCAATTATTGCACCAATAATCCGTTCTCTCAACTTCGTCATCTTTCTTGCACCTTACTCTTCTTTAGTGTAGGCCTTGGAAACATTATTTTTGCCCCGTGACAAAGACTGTACTTATATCATTGGCAGGGACATGTTCATCACCATCGTCTGCCCTACGTAAGTCAATGTCATTACGGGAAGAATGTTATTGAATATAATTGTGGAGAGACATTGTGATAATCATAATCTGCACTTATTTGGGAAATGAGTAGGATGACATATAATGAAGTATAATGTATATTTACTTTTAAGCACCAAAAGTCCTCTAAAAAACGTCACTTAAGGATGAATGTCTTTTGTTGTATATTTCTTTCCCACACGACATTGCTGGCTCACTCAAAAATTGATATGTGGTATCTTGTATCAGGATAAGTTTTGAAATACTATTGCTGCTACGGATACCTAACATCAATCAAATAGTATTTTTATCAAATGTGAATTGAATGAATAGTGTTGAAGAAAAAAAAGAATTTGGAGAGTAGCTTACTCTCAATCGATTATGTGGGTGGATGTGAGAAGATGTATTTATTATTTCATGTTGCAAATTTGAATATTTAATTGTCATGTGCACTGTCATCTCAACTGGTCATAACAACAGAAAATCGCATATTAAAGTTGCATACCACCATGACATTCTATGTCGGGGACCCACAACGTTCAACGAAGACAATCTTCTCATTATTTGGAATATGTGTTTCAACGTGTGTTTCATCGATTGCTCCAATACAATTCCGGAAAGATAATGAAATATTATATAATTACTATATTTATATGAAAATTGAATGTAATAAATAGGAGAAATTTACTTAAAGTATGACATATACTGCACATCATGCGAAATCTCTGTGTGGGTCCGTTCGAATGTAGGATATGTTGGCTTTATAACTTGTGAAGAAAAAGTGACAAATGCATTCAACCCTACTAAGAAATATCTGCAAATCATTTCAGAATTGTGTTGAAATTGCTCCATAGCTTCTCACATTGACTCATTCTGCGATAATATGTAGAGAGTTATTGCTAACACCTCTCATGAAGAAGTTTTGAATCAGTAAGAAGTCCAGGATTTTTGTGTAGTTCCTCGAACAAATTAGCTAATATCAAATGTGTCATGCGAAATATATTGCTAAATCTCGTTGGGTAGCCCGCACACAACTCGCTAACACATTTGTTGTCAATATATGAGAATGTCATGCAAGGGAAGCACTCTATGCACGAGTTATAAACATACTACGGCTGCAACTCTACTTCTGCGCTTTTTTCTAGTTTCATCCATGTATTTTAGTATCGAAGTGACTAACACCTAAGCATCAATGATTCAGCTTGCACATTTCATATGTGTTCCAATAGGAATTGATTTTTAATATACAAAATAGTTTCAAATGTTATCGTATTAAAGAGTAATAATGTTCCCTGTAAGATAATCGATACCGGAACTGTTAGAATCAAAACATTTGATGAAGTTATGAGAACACTTTGAGATGCTAAACACATTGAATATCTAAAAGGAATCTAATATATTTAAATACTCTTGATGTTAAAGGGTATAAGTGCTTTGATGAAGATGGAGTTCGACATCTATGTTAACCGTATGTTTATTGATACAAGGAATGCTCGACATCAAAATTGATCTTTGCTTTTATATTTGTGAAATTTCATTAGGGCCATTTACACACATACCGCCAAAATTCCTATGTATTAATTACATGTTTGACTTCACATTTTTACATTTTAACCATACAATTCTTTCATAATGTACACATTTTCAAAATGCATTTTTACATATTTGCAAAAATTGAAAGTTTATATTTTAGATATGTAAATACATAAAAAAAAATGATGTATGTAAACCTGCCTAAACACCATTGTATATTTTAGATATGTAAATACATAAAACTTGAGTGGTATGTATGTAAACCTTCCTAAACATTATTGCATATGAAGTTAGTGCGACTTGAACCATTCCCAATAAGCCCTTAATTCCATCATTAAATGAGGTTGACTCCCCATTATAGGAGCAAAAATAAAACCAACGGCTATTAATTAAATTAATTGTAATTAAATTCCATTAATGGCCTGAAAACTATGTCCCGAGTCGTTTGATGTTGTTAAAACACTATATTATTAATTTATTTTTAGCAACACTTTTAATCTATTATGACCTTAATCTCAAAAATTAATTTTAATCATGCACCAATTTTGGAGCACTTCAAATAATAAATGTTTCAAATTCAAATTTATAATTATAAAAGTCCTGATTCCAACAAGCTTATAGTCAAATTCAATGTTGACAATGCAAGCCTAATGAAGTCAATATTAGTTTTGATTATAGTAAGATTAACCTAGATCAATCTATTTAAGCACAACTTGAGGTTTTAGATGGGCAATTGAATGTTCAAATAAATTTCACAAGCTTATATTCAAATCGAGCGTCCTGCCCAGCCTAATCCAACGAGTTGAACATTACTAATATAGAATATCATCTGATGAAATAAATCTTTTTGTGTCATCTGATGGAGTGGTCTAAATTTATGTAATACTTCTAGAAAATATCACTCACAAAATATATAAATATATCATCACTCCATTCATGAAATGAGATATAAAACTAGAGGAGAAAGTTGAAGGAGGTCCAATCTTTTAAGGGTTCTTGAGCTCCACTGTCATCGAACCATTGATACCTAGCCATCATCCTTTGGCTGCCACCAGTACCTGACCACCGCCGTCGAGCTGCCGCCACCTTCGGACCATCACAGCTCGAAAACCATCCTCGAGCTAGCGCCACAATCGTTGCTTCCTAGTCACCGCTACCGAAGACACTACAGTAGAATTTCTGGCACAATGCCCTTACCTTTGGCTTTCCTTCACAACAATCAGGTCATCAACACTTCCCTAACGTTTTCTACTATTTCCCTAACGAAAGTCTCGTGCCTTTTGTATAATATTACTTTCGGTCATTAAGGGCGGGTAACGTTATGTAAACTAATTACACATAATAGAGTTAGGCTGTCAAAACAACTCGTTGTTCTTGTAAAGCTCGTGTCCGGCTCGTTAAGCAGCTGGTTCTTCTAGGTTAACGAGCCAAACACGAACAACATGAACAAATATTTGTTCGTTCTTGTTCGGCTCATTTTGGCTTGAAATACTATTAATCATATATATATATATCTTTGATGAGTACTATTTTTAAAAAATTTGATT